AAAGAATCCAGTCTTCTATCAGTGATTTCTTCAAGCCCCAATAATTTTCCAGTCAAAAACCTTTTCATCATGTTTATGTAAATACGTGTACATTTATTTCTAGTATAACTTTTTTTTCACAAATGTATTATGAAGTAGATAAATATTTGTTGATAAACAGTTATGCAAATCAAGAAAAAAGTGGTCTTGACATTAAACTGACACCTATCGTGAAACAATTTTGTGGAAGTTACATAAATGTTCCTTCTCCCAAGTTGGAAGATGCGAAACTTCTTAAGTGAGCCACCTGCCTAAGTGAGCCACTGGTAGCCAGTCCCTAGGGTGGCTCAGTTACACAGGTTTGACTGTATATATATTTATGTCTGCTTTGTTAATTAATGATATTATATGTAGACTTCTATATAACTCAGATTTTTAGATTTATTTTTTTGGAACTTTAACTCTACTTTCTCAATAAAATTCTTAAAATAAAATAGGTTTAATTCCTATGTAAAGATAAGACACAATATTAATATAAATTGAAAATCTCTGAGCTAATCAAAAGGCATGGACATGAAGGCCATTTTGAAATGTTTAAACTGAATAGTTCAATTATATTAGCAGTAAACCCAACATTTCTTTACCTACCTATTTTTGTAATCTTCCTAAATTCAGGGTGAGGATAGTGTAACTGAATGTGTGTTGTTAAATGAGAAGGTCATTATTCGTCAGAGTTGGAACATCCCCTCGACCTATAACAATGAAATTTTGAAGGTAAGGATTCAAAATATACTTTGTAGACAGCTTCCAGAATGTAAAAAAAAGGATTAAAATTTAAAGATTTATTGAAATAAAAAAAGATACAACTTTCACTCTAGTGAAATTCTTTTAAGATGTTGTTGCTTAATTTTAAATATATCCATTATTTTTGTTTTCATTTTAGTTGGTGTAGAATGAGAAAACATGGTTAATATTTCAGTAATGTTTTACATTTTACCATATTTCTTGTACTTTTAAGAACCACCTTTTGAGTAAATTGTTTGCAAAAAGATAATGTTTAAAAAAACCTTATTAGAGGAATATTTAAACTATTAATGACATTATAATACATATCTTATTGGAACCCCACCATTTATTTACTTATTATATAGAATTGACTGATCATTTGATGTGTCAGGTGATGGCTTGAACCATTTAGATACAGGAATGTAGCCATATCATGTTTAGACCATGGATCTCTCAAATTTTAATGGATCGTGTTTGCAGTTTATTTGTTTTATAAACAAAAGTCAAGATTTCACTACCTCCAGCCATACTATGACATTATTAAAACTGTCAAGTAGCAGCTGATTACCAGACTTCAGCTAATTACCTGTGATGTATATACAGCTTCAATGGAACTTCAGTTCATGCTGTGGACGTTAAATGACTAGAAGTACGTGACATGGTCTGATGAGTTCCAACTCACCCTTCTGTCCCTACTGGTAGTAAAAATTAGATAAGCCATGCGAGTAGGGTTGCCAGCTCTTGAAAATCTTGAAGTAGGATTTTTTTGTAAGGACATTACACAAATTAGGCCACTTTTTTTGACACACACACACCCCTGTCACATGGACGGCTCCTAACTGAATTTAATAAACACTTCTACTACAGTTGGTAATAAAATATAAACACATTTTATCTTTAAGTAGGACTGTCCCACTGAAAGTAGGACAGTTGACAACCCTACACATGAAGTACTTGACCTTGCTTAAACAATAAAAGGAACTGGAGGTTGTGTAATGATGTTTTTAGGAATTGGGTCTTTTAGTTTCTTAAGAAAGGAGAAGAATGTTCAGCATGTATGATCATTGTTGCTAATTGTATCTGTCCCACAATACTGTATTTTTCATCTCAATGTACAAAAACACTTTCAAGATAATGATTCAACAATATTTAGAAAATAATGATTTCAGTCATCTTCCTTGGCTAACACAGTTACATGATCTCAGCTTTATTGAATCTCTCTAGAATGAATTTGAACATCGTATTTTTCAAAATAATTAAATTAATTCACTAGCAACTCATACTCTTTGATAGGTAAGACAATCAAGCAAGAAACTTTTTGGTATCTATGCCATAGTGGATTTAGAATGTCATCATGGCAAAAGTTGGTCCAACCTGATATTAGGTCTAATAAAATAGCCAACTAGTATATAAGGCTCATTAGATAACAGCTGATATTTGATGCCTTCAGTTAAGGTTATTTTTAAATATTTGTTTTAATCATGTATTAATGTTATTCATCTCTCTAGGAACCTATGGGGATTTATAATCAATCAGGATATTATGTGGATGGTGTGATGACCTGCCGCTGGAAAAGTAAAGCTCTTACTACAATGAGAAACACTGTTCACAACATTGTAAACCAAAATTACCATCTACTTTTAGCCAAAGGACCTGCAAGTTCTGATGGTGGTGGGTAGATTTTAGGGTTTATTCTTATTACAAAACAAATTTTGCATTAATAGATATAATAATATTTAACAATGAAAGTATTATAAACTTCTAGAATATGTTGAAGTTGTTTGTTTACACTCAAGATTATCAGAAATTGATAAAAATATATGGATGTAATTTATAACTTAACTTTACTGGGCTGCTATGCATTTCAAATCTGTCTTATCCCTGCTTTCTGTTTGGAAATGCATCTTATCAAATAGATGTAATAACTAATACAGGTGCAAAAATATCTCTTGTACATCTGTATATTATACTTTTCAGCTTTATACGAATTATTTACTTTTGTTAACATTTGGGATTAACAATCTTATAAGATGAGTGTACACTTCTAGTGAGCTTGAAATATTTAAACTTTTTTTCTCTATATCAAGCATGAACTGAAAGTTAGTGTAGACTTGTGTTGCAATATCATTTCATTTTTCTGATGTCTTGAGAATAGCACCGGGAAATATATCTCGAACGACAAATGCTATTGTTTTGAAAGTGCAAATATTTAATATTGACTTAGGAGTTAATTTCATTGTATATTTCATGTTTTATTTCTTCTTCTTTTTCCACAGTTAAACGCAAACACAGTGAAAGAGCTGTTTCAGATAACCCAGTAAACCTGACATTGGTATCAGTGGTGGCTGGTGCCAAGGTGCCACTTTTCATCAAACTGCATGGTAATATACAGTTCCGATTACTAAACCTGAAGTTGATGTCAATGATGATGATGTGTAATAAAGTACTTGTACAGCTGAAGTTTTAAAGGATTAATTGATAGCATTATCACTAATTTTCTTTCAGACCCTTTATGTATAAGAAAGTATCTAGCAATAAGCAAAGGTATACAAAACACTACATAATTAAAATTCCTATTAAGAAGGTGAAAAACAAAACTTGTATTTTCCAAAAACTAGCCTAACTCACATACTATATGAAAACAAGATAAATCATGACTATAGTACGAGGATTGAAGTCCTATTTTCCAAAAACTAGTCTAACTCGCATACTATATGAAAACAAGATAAATCATGACTATAGTACGAGGATTGAAGTCCCTGAAACTATTTTACAAAATATAAGGAAAAATCCAAAACTTGCTATTACTTATATTTACACAGAATGTGAATTTAGGCAGTATTTTTTTTACACAGAAAATCCAATAGAAAGAAGGACTGGCAAGATCAGTGAACAAAAACCAATATCAGAATTAGTATTCAGATAGTATCTCATTGAAATACATAAAAAAATGGATTTTTTGGCAACAATTTCAGACCAGTGGGGTCAGTAGAAAGAAAATGGCAAATATATACATTTTATCTAGAGATGTAACTTTTACGCAGAAAAAAAAATTTTTGCGATGCAAATTTTAAAATATTTGATTTGTAGAAATTTCATAATGAACTCCTGATAACTGTTTATTGGTACATAAAACTACACAACTGACAATTTACTTTAACTGGGCAAGTGACATTAACGTGTTGAACAGCAAAAACAATACAGGTACTACTTCACAAAGTACTACAATACTATATCCTACTCATTTTTTTACATTAATATCAGGCACCTAAGACTGTAAACTACACAATATAGCCAGTTATCATACACACATTACTAAACAGCTTTTAACTATCTCACAAGTTAAGCATCTATACAGTGCAGCTCATGGATGTGACCAGTTTACAATATTTTATTTAACTCTACAAAACAAACCAATCAGCAATAAGCACCTTGTACATTCAATGTCATATGGTTCTTGAGTTACATCATAGTTAGTTTAGGCTTTCAAAAAAAATGAGTGCACAAAATATAAGCATACTTGAAAGTTATTATTAACATCCAAGTCATAAATTATTTTCATATAATATAATATGTACTTAATAACATGATAATAGATGTCATGTAATGACTGTGCTAACAGATGCTTGCATCTGAAAGAAGAAACAATGCTAACTTTGTTCCTCACAGATATCTATAACAGAATGTCGTGTAGTTATTATTATACTTCAATATTTTGACTCTTTACAGTATCATTTGTGAAGAAACAAAAACAAAAAAATGGAATCTTCTACCTAAAATTTTAAAAAATGTAGAAGTTTCTTCATAATGCTAAACCAGTAGATTTGAGTGTTCAAGGGAATTTTTAAAGGAATGCTTCTTCATGTAGCACTTTATGACATATCAAAACATATAAACAGTTCAGGTTGAAGTGGGACTGAAATACAGAGATCAAAGGTCAAAACACCCATGTGAGCAAAATGTAGAAGTTTCTTCATAATGCTAAACCAGTAGATTTGAGTGTTCAAGGGAATTTTTAAAGGAATGCTTCTTCATGTAGCACTTTATGACATATCAAAACATATAAACAGTTCAGGTTGAAGTGGGACTGAAATACAGAGATCAAAGGTCAAAACACCCATGTGAGCATAATGAGGCAAAATATAACATTTGAATACAAGACGTGAAATTGAACTATTTAAGAAATATTAGGTTGTCATGAAATTAATGTCGCATTTTGGAACACTTTCATTAACCACCTCCCAAAAAACGTACATCATGTATAATAGTTAAATCAACTGCCTAAACTTCACGTTAGTGTAGCCCATATAATGTGTAAACTTTAGTTTACTCTAATCTCTTATAGTGATGACACACACGAGACACACATTTGGCATGTAATCTTATTTGAATACAAGAAGGGAACCAATGCCTCTGTAGCCACAAAGAATATCAAAGAAGTTTATGGAAATGTTTTGAATGTTTGTAAG